TTTATTCATATGTTGTGCACGATACAGAGAGCTTATAGGACAATCAATAATGAAGCAGATCTGGATGAAAAAGCCTCCTGGGCGGAGACAACATATGAGTTTTACACTAAGATAAAGGATCCAAAATAAAAGGGTGAGACAGTCTGGTTCTCATGAAACTGTGGAACACAAGTCCCAACCTTGTACATGTAACCCAAATAACTTCAGTTTTTGTGGGAATAGACAGGAATTAGAATAAACATATAGCAACATAAGTAGCAGGTGTGAACTTATTGTGATTTTCCACTTCACATCACAGAAATGTTAGAGTGACACCTACTCAAACCTAGAGTGTGAATGGAATATACAAGAGTATTTCTTCTAATGTGGTTGGATGAACGATAAGAGACATAAAAGCTAAATGTTTTGGTCATCAAGATGCTACTGGATACTCTCTGAGTGGACGTCTAAGGATGGCGCTCTTCACATGACTGAGGGCAGACAGAGTGATCACTGGACGTGAATGTCATGTATGAGAGATCAATGGAGTGACAGCAGCCAGCAGACAAGTCCAGCATGAATATTTATGTCCTTGCCCTTCTCTGTGTCTGTGGGGACCAAACTCACCCTTTTCACTTTCAGTTTGACATGTACGGATCACTCTGTGTGCAGATGCCACTGTGTTTCCTCACAAGCAAAACTGGCTGTTGTTTACATGCTCAGATAATGAATCAGAGATCAGTTTCTGCATGAGCTGGGATTTAATCTCCAGCAGTCATTGGGCAATAGAGGCGGGACTAAGCCTCAGACGGGTCACCATATCGTTCAGCTGAGTTTAAGGCATTTCAAATGAACCTTGGTCCAATCCTTCAACTGAACCCAACTTGCCATTGTGGCCAGAATCTAAGCCAAAGTCCCATCAACCAAGCCTTATCTGGTTTGGTTCACTGTCAGACTCCAGCAGCATCAATGGTAGATTGAACTACAGAAACTGTCAAACTGTTACAGCTGCTACTGTAGGGCTAAGTTTGAACTTTTTCCAGTGTTCACTCCAGATAGGATGAATGTATTTGTAGATAAGAGTAGCTGCAAATCCATAATACATGAATAAGTGAAATATCTATAGTCTAAAAAAAATGGCATTGATGACTCAAATGTTTATTAAGGATAGGAAGAATTTCTGTATAATTATTAAAATATCAGTCTGAATATGAATAATGCATTTGTACAAGGAAGAATTGATTGATAATTAAAATGCTCCTTGGCTGTTTAATATGAAATCAGCCTGAGATCAGAAAAAATACAAATAGTGAGAGACTACATACTGCTGGGTTTAAAAGCTTTTATGTCCATATATCATTTATTTTTATATTAATATTGAAGAATATTAGCCTTCAATGTCACACCATTCTAAATAAAAAGATAAAATTGTACATTTGTTGGAGAAATTGAATTTGAACAGTTCAACTTCAGCATTCATTCATTTAGCTGCACATTGGCCAAAGACCATGCACATGATGGCATCTGGAGCAATTGTGTTTTCTGTACCACCTGCACTAGGGAATAAATGATTAACCTTTTAATTTAACATACACCCTGGACTGTTAACCAGTCCATCATAGCGCCAGCACAGAGACAAATGAGGGAAACAACCTTTGCATCCGTAAACTCACAAAGGTCATGGTGGAATTACCAATAAGCCTAACATGTTTGTACCTGTAGAGAGCTGTAACCCAGAGGTGACACCATGCAGCTGGTATGATGTCATAGGATCCAGCTGTGTGGGAATACCTCCTTCATATATCATGAAAATGGGCTGCTGCAGTGCATTCTGGGATTCAGCCTTGACCAGTCTCTTTCATTTCAGTCCTTGTTCCCCATGTGGCTGAGGTGGAAACCCAACACTGCCTACAGTCACAATTTACTTCTATAAAGTATGAAAGTAAAACTATTACAGTTACCAAGTTTCATAAACTTGGTAATATCTTTTTTTTCTTTTACTTTGCTATTTATTCATTATTTGGATAAATTATAGTTAAATCTGCTTCCTGATGAGGAGAGAAAACTTTGTATTGAGCCTACAGTTGTCATGGTGATGCTGAATATGACCATACATTTCATCTGGGTCCCTGCAATTTAACAGGTGTTATATCACCAAAGATATCGCTTGCCTTTAACTCTCAATTTAATTTTTATCAGAAAACATTTATTAACATTTAGTAGTGCTGTTTTTTGTTGAATGATATTTAACAAAAAACCGCAGCACAATTTAAAATGTAAGCAACAAGTACAGGTGATATGAACCTCTTGTCTGAAGATGCACAGTGAGACTATTTGTAAAATTTGAGTGACTCTTAACAGAAGAGGTAAGTTAAGAGCTTTACTGTAGAGCTCTTAACTTTACTGTTAACCACTTTGGTCTCTAGCTGAGAGCAGCTAGAGATCAAAGTGGATTAATGCTAGGCTCTCATAGTGAATACATTCCTTCATCTCCTCGTGAGTAGAAACGCACACACACACCTACACACATACACACACACACACACACACACACACACACACACACACACACACACACACACACACACACACACACACACACACACACGTGTGGACATTAATGCATTTGACTGTAAACATGAGAACATGTCTGTCAGTCAGGTCAGATCAGCCCAACCTTGACAAAAGTGGGAAACGTTTCAATTGAGGGCAAGTAGGGGAGAAGCTAAAATACAGATCATAAATCATTTCTAATGTGACCATATATGACATGGGGATATTTTGTAATGGCATGTATTCATAGTGTCAATGGCTCTGTAAAAGTGACAGGCGTTATCCTGGGAAATTATGGCTCCAATCATGATCCTTGCCATCAGTAAAGCTTCACTCTAATATCACTAATGGACACTATGGTAATTGTAGCACATTAAAGGAGGCACATTATGTCTTTCTGAAAATTTATGACAATGTTTTGGTTTATAGCATTTCATACGTTCCTGTCTAACTCCAGTCATTTCCATAATTGTGCTTGACACAGGCTGACTTAATGTGATGCATTAAAGAGTGGCATAAACAGACACTGTGTATCTATTAAAAAGCTTAACTGCTTGCTCTGTGATGAGCTGCTGGAAGCTCGGCTTTTGGACATAAAAGCTGGATCAGGTGAATAATTTATCATTCTCATCCCTCTCTGTGAAAGCAGAACACATTCTGCATCTGATCAGAGGAAGACGAGCATTAAAAACAACAACAACAACAAAAAACAGAAAAAAACTCCAGCCATGCAGTAAATTGTGAACCAGGCCTAAATTGTGAGTCAGTTTAAATTTGAATGGGGAGTTATGCAACCTGCTTGTGTTTCTGCAGTGGCGGCCCCATCTGCTGGGGTTCCCTGTTGCAGGCAGAGGCCAGCCAAGCTGTCTAACACATGACGGCTTCAGTCTGCTGTGGGTCGGCTGAATAATTCAGAATTCCTGCTCAGGACCGGCTGGCAGCCAGATGCAGGCATCCGAGACACCACCAAGGTTTTACAAATAGACACTGGAAAGTTATCACTGGATATCACAGGCTGCCTGCACGGCTCATCGTCAACTCAATGTGCTGAGTCAGCTTTCTGCTTTATTCCAGGCAGGGTTATTAGTTAACTAAAACTTACAAAATAAAGAAATCTAAAATTGAGAAAATATTTTAATTAGCTGAAATTAATAGAAATAGAGGTATATATATATATATATATATATATATATATATATATATATATATATATATATATATATATATATATATATATATATATATAGGTTCCCTCACAGAGGGTGAGACGCTACATTTCATAACGGCAGAATCACAGGAGACGGCTGCCATAACAGTTTGGTGGCGGAAGAAGTGTCTTTAATACACAATAAGAAAGCTTGGAATTTTTTCAGCACACTTTTTCTATGTTGTTTTTATGATGATTAAGAATATACATACAGTAAGGGAATCTGTACTAAACAATTTAAACCCCATTGTTTTACAAAGAGTTACAACTGGCTCCCTGCAGCTCAGAGAATAGACTTTAAAACATTTCTGTTAGTTTATAAATCACTGAACAGTTTAGCACCACAATACATTAAAGATCTGCTGCTGTTCTATCAACCTTTCAGACCCCTCAGGTCTTCTGGTTCTGGTTCTGCTCTGCATCCCCAGAACCAGAACCAAACGTGAAGCATTAGCTTCTATGCACCACAAATCTGGAACTAACATCCAAAAACTGCAAAACAGCAGAAACACTGAGTTCCTTTAAGTCAGGTTAAAAAGCCACCTGGTTAGAGTTTCTCTAGAACCATAGTAAACATGATCATATCTGATGTGTATTGATTATATTAAGATGACACAATGTAATGTTTGTTATTGGTTTTCACAACTGTTGATGATAAAATGTTTTTTTATATTTTCATGATGATAAAGATTGATTGATTGATTGATTGATTGATTGATTGATTGATTGATTGATTGATTGATTGATCATCCTAAGGGTCAGATCTTGTGATGTTTCTTGTTCTCCGGTTTCAGTGTGAGAAGAATGAAATTGAATTTTAGATCATTCATGAGGTCTACCCATGAGTCACATGCTTTATAGGCTCAGCACAAGCCATTACCCTGTTCTGTGTCCAGAAACAAAGCTGACTATCTTTTCCAAACTTTTCTTCCTCACTCTGGAGCGTCTTTGCGCATCCTCTGTCCATCCTCCTCCTCCTTGAAGAACACGCCCCAGCAGCCTCCAGCCTCCAGCATACAGCAGCAGCAGCAGTGAGTCTCAGCTCCGCCACGGTGTCGCTCCTGGAGGGCGATCCGGTCCGACTGGACTTCCCGAACAACTTCTGTCAGAGTTCCGTGGTCCTTCGGAGGAAGCAGAGACAACAGAGCCGGGAGGAAACGCTCTCTGCCTCTTTCCTTGTGGTTTTCTTCAGCGCTCCTTTTTGACATCCCGAACTGACTTTTCATTTCTGTCCTCCGATCCGCTCCCGACCTGCGGGGAGCCGCGGCGGCGCAGCGGCGGTCCGGGTGGTCGGTCTGGACGGGAAGAACAGCCGCCCGGTCCGGGGAAGGATGCCGTACAGGTAAGGAGAGACTCCGACATTTAACCCCGGAGTTAGCGGGAAAATGTGTGTAAGTAGGCGGTTCGGCTTCTTCTGGGTCACTTCTGAAGAAATGTGCAGCATCAGTGCTGAGAATAAAAGAAGCAGGATATTTGGGTGAAGTTGAGTTGCAGGATGCTCCTGTGCACACAGTGACCCTGACAGCCTTCACTTCTGTTTGGGCTCCAGCTGGATCAGTTCTGAACATTGGGAAGTTGAGTTCGACCTTTCTCTGACTTCCTCCCCTGACTCAGACCCATCAATCCCACCTAAGCTGGGTTCATTGTTGTCTCAGAGGAGGACAGGCTTATCATCATCACCTCTCCTAGAGGGCTCAGGTATAGTCAAAGCTCAGAGAGGGAGAGCGGAGGCGGGTGTGCAAGAACATAATGTGTGTGTGTTTTTTTTTTTTTTTAGTATTGGCTTCATGAACTTAAATAACCAGTTATTTGAATGAAAAGAACAAGCAGGGACCTGGTCAGCATATGCAGTGACACGTTGGATTACTGAATGTTTTATCAATCACAATGACTCCAAAATACGGTCCAGTGGTCATGATGACTGATCAGCCTGATGCCTCTGCATGCTGTGTATTCTGTGTACTTCAGTACTCAATAAACACCGTTTAGAGATAAATAGACATTTTTGTTTCCACAAAGCCAAACACTTTAGTTCCATTGGAAAATGAAACAACACAGAGGGTGACGGGAGGCTCTGAGAGTTTTGTTCAAAATAGGCTCTGCAGCATCAGAAAGTTTGAGGGAAGGTTAAAATCCTGCACTTACAAATTATTCTTTCATGCATGTTTGAGAAATCCTTTAATCTCCATAGCAAACCCCTGGTGGAACTGCACATCTGCTGGGCTCATTATATGAGCTACATGTCAGTGAAAACTTGGTCAACATTAAATGGTTAATAGAGGAGCCATGTTGTGTGATGAGTTTCAGAAAGATCAGAAGGTTTAAAAAGACAGAGGCCAATTTTTTAGGCATTAAATTGCAAAATCAAATTTCTTTTAAGTCATATTTGATATACAAAGCATTTTTGTAACAATTGCATATAAAATTGTTAGTTGATTGTGCTATAAAATGACACTATTTGCCTGGAAAACACACAATACTGTCCATTAGTTCTGTGTGGATCAGTGTCTTGCCAAAAGTGATTTTTGCAAAAACGACACTTCTACCAAAGATACAACGACTCCTTCCTTTATTCTAGGAAGCTGGAACATGTGCTACATGTGGGACCCTTGACGTGACCGCCCTTCCTCCTGTCCATGACATCATAATGACATTTAAATATGTGGCAGCAGGAAAACATCTAAACAGTGTCAGAGGGTCAGGATAGGAGAGCATCTGGTTTGGTAAATATTCTATAAAATATCACTGTACAGAACTTCATCACAGATTCAGATCTTCATTGCCTCAGAGTAAATAAACATATTGTTGTTGAAGTCTGAACTCATAAAGTGTGAGTTCTGCTAGAGGGCTGAATGAAGGTTATGATGACGCAGAGGTCCCAGCAGCTCGAACTTCTTACTGTCCCATTCATCATAGTGACTGTTGTTGGCGCTTCTGCAGCAGCCGTTGGCTGTGGGGCGGATCTGTAAACTCTGTCCTGTGACCGTCTGAGCTTCAGCTAACAGGGCAGCTCACGCCCTGAGCCGCTCCACAGGCTGACTTCTGGGAAACTGTCAGGACGGGGACAGGGTGGGAGGCAGTGTTTTTAAAATTGGGATCGGGGGTCCACCTGGGAGGCCACCTGGGAGGCCACCTGGGGGCGCTGTGGGGACCTCAGAAAAGTGAATGGAAGATGAGAAAAAGAAAATGCAAAAATAAATAAAAACGTGAATCCCATCAAATCTTAAATTTTTCATCATAATTTTTGTTTTCTGTTATTGAATCTTTTTTTAATATAAAATATAAGTTCAAATAATTGATTTAGATGTTATTTCTGATGCTTCTAATCTGATTGGCTGCCAGTCAGATTGATCAAGTTGCTTTGCTCTTCAAGCTAGCATAGCAAACCAGAAACTGAAAAGTTTGTGACAAGAAAGAGACCAAAGGAAGCAGTGCCGCTGTGGAGGACTCTGCTGCAAAACAACATAAGAATGTGGGAATAAAATAACATTTGATGTGATTAATGTAAAATATTGCATATTTTCTTATAAGCAAAAAGGAGATTGTAATACAAAATTATATGGTCTGGTAATATAATTTTTAAAATAATTTTCTGTGGTGGAAAATTGTAAAATTTTGGACCACATGAAACTCATGGCTATCTAAACTCAGATGGTGTGAGGCAGCATTTATTCTAAATGAATGTAATAATTATTGAATATTGAATAAAATAAACATTCTAAAAGTTGATGTTTCTTTACATATTTTGTTGCATTGTCTGTGGGCCAGAGGTCAATGCTCTTTGAGGAACCATGACATGAGGTAGAAATAGAGCTGGGATGTGGGAGTCTGATTCCTGCTCAGTGTGAAAACTCTTCCCGGTTTTGAAATGGTAAATGAGTGCCAAGCTCCACCCACTGGGCCGCCTTGACCTTGGCTACCTGCTCCTTTTGCCTTTAAGAAGCATCACATCTCAAAGAGAGTTTGGCCCCGCAGCTTGCTGTGTGATCACTCAACTCTCCCAATGGCCGACCTACTGTGTCCAATTTACAAAGACGTGTTTGGGTCGCTGCAGCGTGGATTAATTTCTGCCCCAGCCAGCGATTATGGAGGCAGGAGAGGACGAGGGGAGAGGATGGAGGGGTGAAATCTGAGGAGTGTGCAGAAATTTGTCAGCTCTCAGCACTGACACCCTGATCCAAGTCGTCTTCTAACGGATGGTGATATATGACTAAGGTGACCATATTCATTATTCACACAGCCGTCCTCCTTGTTTTCCCCAGCATTGTTCCCTCCCTGGTCTGATCAAGTGTGTTCCGTTCTGCGGCAGTAATGATATGAGGAGGTGTGTGTTGCCGTAACATTTGAAGGACGGCATGTTGCAGAGCCTTCCAAAACAATATCATAACCCAAATCCATTAGCCATATGGGTTCCATTGGCCAGATTTGCTTGATGCAATTTGGGCGTCCTCCCACTGCAGAGCCATGGTGCAAGGCTGGGATTCATTTCATTAGCTGCTGTTTTTATCCCCTCCTTCTAGAGCCTTTCACACCCACTGCCAAGGACAGCTTCCACTTCAGATCTGCTCTAATGCTAGGACAACAGAACTGCTAATGGGAATGGTTACATAACACATCGTTTTACTTTAATAACATGACCTCATTGACATGCGCACACACACACACACACACACACACACAAAAGAAGAAAACCTGAGTAAAATGATGTAAAATGTTGACGAAAAGCATTTGAATAAGTACAATGTCATAGGGAAAGTGAATATAATTTTATTAGTTATGGGTAATAATTTGATTAAGAAGATCAAACAATGCTCTTGACGATCAACTGATTCCCTAAACTAGTTTTACATTTTCAGTCGACGTTCCACATGTTGTGATCTGTGTTTTTCTGTGTAGTTATTTTGAAATTTTCTGTGTTTAGTCCTGTTTCCCTGTGAGTCTCTGTCCTGTCCTCCCTGTTGATTGATCCAATCTGAGTTTAAATATGGGCTTAGTGTAGATTTAATACTATCTGATATGTTCTCACTACAACAGAGCACATCATCCCAGTTTAATGTCATTCCACCAGCTTCCTAGAGGTCAGAGAATCGATTTTAAAATTCTATGAGTTACAAGGAATTTATAAACCTCTGCTACTTAATAAACTCTTAGATGGCTTAGCACCACAATACATTAAAGATTTAGCTTCTATTCTCCACAAATCTGGAACAAACTCCCAGAAAACTGCAAAACAGAGTTCCTTTAAATTCAGACTAAAAACCCACTTATTTAGAGTTTAGTAGTAAATTAAACATTGATCAACATTTAATGCATAATTGCTTGATAATTTTCTTGATATTTGACAAAATGCAATGTTTATTGCTTGTTTCATAACTGATGACCTTATGATATTTTTATGATGTTAAGCACTTTGAACCTCCTCGTTGCTGAAAATGTGCTTTACAAATAAAGTTGACTCAACATAAAGAGGTCTATGATGAGACTCAACACTGACATCAGATCTGCCACTCAGACCTCACTCAGCAGGAACAGATGCTGGAGCCACGACTTAAAAAACAGAATTCCATCTGGAAATCTTGCAGAACATATGAGATGTCCCCAAATGTGATCATATGCTCATACATGTGTTTAAATATAATGGAGAACCATACATTCTCCTCCTGAATAACAGTGCAGTAGCAGAGAGACATTCTTTCGCACAGCTCAGAAAATGGAGTCAAACTGTTGGCTGATGATGCTAATGAATGCTCTGAGCAGGGCAAACATTACAGGCTGGAGGTGTCATAATGGGAGAATACATCGACACAAGAACAAGCTCTGGAATTTGTAATTGTAATTATAATTAGAATATATGATGTAATTATTGCTCTACTTAAATGAAGTAACTGATTAACTGCATATATGTGTGTGTGCCAGTGTGTGTGTGGGTCTGTGTGTTTGTGTGTTGTAACTGGGAAAGCAACTTGCAGCGTTGTGATTTCTGTCTGGTTTTATAGTTGTGTATTTTGTGACTAACTTCGTCTACAATCTGGTACAAATCTTCAAATGGTGGGATTTATGTTTGACTTGTTTATCTTCCCTTTTTAAATAAAGTTCATTGTCATTATTTTCTGTGGTTCTGCAGCCAAACCAGCTCAGGGGAGAGAATTCTCCAGCTCTGCTGTAAAATGTTATTAATGGCTAAATATTTAATCATGTTTTTTTTTTTTCCTTGTTGGGACTTTATAAAAGTAAACCGATGTCTTGTTTCAGTTTTGTCTCTCCATCTCAGAGTGCGGAGCAGCAGAAACCGCTCTGTGTGTTGGGAGAACAGGTGTGATCTGAAGCAACGAGCTCGCAAAT